TCTTCCAAGCTGATGATAAATGATCACCGCTGCCCAGGAAACCGAAAACCAAAAATCTGGCTTGACAGCCACCCTCGAGGACTGAGCTCCAGGACAGGGAGGAGCTGTAGTGGAGATGGGGCTCGATGCGGGATTCGCTGGGGGTGCAAGGGGCAGATCTTCTCCCAGCGGGAGCAGGACGCCCCAGCCTCTGGTGGCGTCATTCCCCCTCCGACCCCCCGCTGGGTCCGGTCTGTCCTTCTGTCCCAGGTCGAGACTGAAGCTCTCTCGGCCCGAAGCGTGGATATGCTTCCCGATTTTCCACACCGCTGGCATCCGTAGACACCGGTGGTTCTCCCGCCGGGGGATGAGGCGTGGACCGCCTCCCGTGCCTGGGCAGGAGGCGCTGGCCCTTCCCTGCACCGCGTGTCTCTCCTGCTCCTGTGAGCACCTGCCACCCCTCTGAGTCCCTTTTCAACAAGGGTATTCTAAAAATTAAAGTTACGAAGACTAGTTCTGGCTTCTCTTCAGTAACATTTTGTTTTCACCTTAGAACAAAACAAGGTTAAGGTTACACTACATAGGGCCTCACAAAAGAATTTGCTTTAATATTCAATATAAATTCTTTACAGTCTTTAGAATTCACACGACACTTCTGACGTGTGAAGAAAAGCACGTGTGACTCCAGTTAATCCTGGTGTGGAGCCGTCATTCCAAAAGTTTCCGTTCCAGTCAGACACCAAGGCGGCTGCGGGGCGTGCACCCCAGAACGCGGCAAAACACGCTTGTCCCAGACGTCGGTGCCGGCGTCCCTCGCGGTCGGCGCTCTGCGTTACACGGGGCTCACGTGACTGGCATTCCCGTTGTATTTTGCTTTCCGAGATCACAGAGAAAAAGCCGAGCCTACTTCTCGGGGAGCTGGGGAGCTGGCATTTCAGCCACCTAAACGCTATGAAATGGCAGAGAAAAACACAATGCCGCTTCCTAATTTGACAAACAGCTACTGTCATTAAGTTATTGAAAATGAGACTTGATCTTCTAGATTCGATCCTAAGGCAAGGTATCATGAAATTTAATTATTGAGTTTTTCTCTATTTAAGATGCTATTACTGAATTTAAAAAAAAAAGAGTTTGCATTTGGAAGAAACAGTTTGAATTTGTGAACCCTAATGATGAAATCTGACTGCAGAGATCTGTGGGGTCTCGCCGTATGGTCTTGCTCTGACTCTGAAGTAAAGTGACCGTCTCAGTCTGGTGATTGAGGACACCAGTTGAGACAAGGCCTCAGGCTGCTCTCCTACAAATTTGCCATGAACAGGAGCCAAAATTCAAGATCCCATCCAAGTGGCTCAGCTGTCACTGGTGTCAAACTCAAGAACTGGGCCTGTCATGTTCATATATAATATAGTTAAGTCGAGCTTCCTGACAATGTTTTTGAAAAAAAAAACAAAACAAAACATTGTCAGGGAGAAGGTAAAAGTTATATTATGTATGACAGTTAAATAATTTAAAATTTTGATTTTAATTAGATTGGATTTTTCTTATTTTCCCATTTCTAGCTTAGAACTTGTTCTATGAAAACAAAAATGTAGTAGAAAATATACGCCCCTACATATATTCAAATATTCAAGCACAATTATACAATTACTTCAAATCCTAATTTCCGTTTCGATCTCAGAAGTGCATAATTAGGCAATTTCTCACCTTTTGCTTTTCAGATGCAGTAGGAGCACCAACTGATACTAGTCGGCAGAAGACGTGACTTAGTTATATCACCTGGTATCTTGCAAAACAAAATGCCAAATCAAGAGTAAAAATCTGTTTAAATTTTATCACCTTAGATCCTTGAACTTTATCATTTTAATACACAACCTAGTTGAAACTTCCGCATTCAGAACCCCCAACTCCTCACCCCACCTTCTGTTTACCCAAATTACCTTCCTAGGTTGCTCTGTTCTTATGCTTGCGCGTGCGCGCGCTCTCTCTCTCTCTCTCTCTCTCTCTCTCTCTCTCTCGCTCTCGCTCTCGCTCTCGCTCTCGCTCTCGCTCTCGCTCTCGCTCTCGCTCTCTCTCTCTCTCTCCCATCCCCCCTTTCTCTCCCTCCCTCTGTATGAGCACATTCATTTTGGGGGGAAAATTCTACAAATTGCCCAATATATCCGCTTTCCAATACCAGTGCTGGGAGATGCATTGTCAGCATGCTAGGAGACCGTTTCTGGTCCATGGTTCCCGGCTCTTTTGTGGCCATTATTAATCTCAGTGTGTACTTAACGGTTTTCTTTTTTAAGCCACTCCAGAAATCTCAGTCTTGGATACAATTTAGAATGATCTCCGTGCTCTGTTGACAGGGAATTTTGAAATTTATAGACAAACCTGCTGGAGTAAATCAATTAAGATGTAGATGATTAATTTGTGGTTTCTGAAAAATGTATTGTGGTCTAAAACAACATGATTTGATATAAATCCTCTTGGAATTCTTACTTCTATGAACTTTCTTATAAGAAATCATCATTTTTCAAGACTGCACCTAAAAGTATTAATTTCCACTTTGCAGATTCTACCTAGCGTTTATTTGAAATTATGTGCCACTGTGCAAGTCTTTTATTTATTGTTTATTCATCGTGCACAGTCTTTTATTTTAACTAATGACAAATAACCCATTTGTAAAGCTCTTATGCATAAAGAGTAACAATATGATGAATTCCCAGATTGTTGGCCTTGCTCAGTATAAAGACTTTATTAAACACTCTATCTGTATTATTACTGTATCAAATAACATAAAATTTAGTTACCGATCTTCTAACCACACATACCAGAAAAAGCAAGATTGCAACAATCTAATGAATTGGAACGAGATCATAGTTTGCTAATATAAATAATTACGCCCTCAGTAAGAATACATGAAACACCCTCACTAACCACAAACTACACACCACGCTGTCACGGCAAAGCAGAAAATGGACCGGACAGCCCAACTCAGCCGACGTTCTGATCCAACACTACCATATTTGAGCTCAGAGTCTAACAGTTGGTATTTACTTGCTGTGTTTGCTTCAATTTTCCAAACTATATCGCTTCTTGATTCCAACACTGCTATTGTGTGGATCAAATAATCCCTGGTCACAAAAATACCCTGGGGAGTGACTCCCCTGGCGTCTGGGTTATGAGTGTGGTCAGTCATTCCACATGCCTGGTGGATGAGCTAGCTTTACCATGATGAGAGAGCTCCTTTTCAAGGCTGGTAATCCTCAAACACAAAACGCCAGCATCAGTCAAAGTCAGAGTAAATTAGGGTATGCACATTGCAATCTTGCTCAAGACAGCACTGAAATTAGGCTTAACTTGCCTTGCTGTCTTTTTAAAAATAAAGTTATTACTGACCCAGAATAAACAAGAAACTTTACAATGTATTCTTGAAATATAAGTATCTCCTACGCGACTGCTCCAATGCCAGCGATAACCGGACCTGTAAACATGAATCTTTGACATGTGCACACTGCACAAGCTCAGGCCGTCAGGCTCCTTTCCCCCCGTTTATCCTGTTGCAAAACAACTTGGAAGACAGAGGAAAAATGCAGGCAGTCTGGAAACCCTCTGCTCTTCCTTTTCTCCCAAACGTCCAGGGCGTCGTCTGGCAGAGTGAGGTCTTTAGTTTCAAACATTAGGCTCACTTTCTGCTCAGGCCTTTCTGAAAACGACGCAGAAGCCCGGACTTTTGGGAGCGGAGGTGCGGCTCAGGCAGTGGGGTCACTCAGTTCCCCGCCCCTGCTGTGTGCTCACGCGGGCCCAGGGGCTCCGGCGACCCAGCCCGCGTCCCAGCCCAGGGCGACCCCAGGTCTGGGCGGGGACGCGGCCGGGCGCCGCTCCAGGACAGGTCGCTCTCAGACTAGGGATCAGGGCGTTGGGGACCTACCCTCCCGGCCCTCGTTCCCCTCCTCTGGCCCTAGAACTTTACAAGTTGCCTGCAGGGGAGTCGCACACGCGCCAGGACAACAAGCGAGTTCCTTCCAGCCGGCGTCACCCGCGCGGGGGCGCAGCCATGGGGCGGAGGCGCGGCCCCCTCCCGGGCGCGCACAGCCTGCGACTCACCGTCCCCGCAAATAAATAAACAAAAAAAATAATAATGCATGGAGGAGGCAG